AGCCCCAAAGAGCGAGAATAAGAACACAAACAGGACTCTAAGTCATTTCTCCCTGTTCCAGACAGAGACAAGCATCTCACACTAGAGGCCTGAGCAAGAACAGGCCGTGTTATCCCACCAAGAAAGGACGCCCAAGGCAAGTGGAGAGAGGGAGGGACAGGAGGTTGTACGTGCTCCCCCACCCCAGCTCAGAGATGGGGAGGCAGGACCTCACCCCACAGGAAAGGAGGAGGGGGCCCCCGAGGTGGGGCAGCCTTGTGGAAGTCACATCACAAGTCCTGACCAACGTCCAGGCCTCACTCCAACCCAGGCCTCACCCACACCTTGTTCCACCTGGTTCCAGGTGACGGGCAGTTAACTAGTTCTCACCAGTACCTTCCAACAATTTGCTCACCAATTTGCTGCTTGGACAGTGTAGGGGGAGGCGGTCAGTATGTGCGTGTGTGAGAGAAAGGGTTTGTGTGTGTGTGAAGGGGGAGTGTCAGCATGTGTGTGTGAAGGGGATTATCAGTGTATATGTGTGAAAAAAGCGTGTCTGGGTGTGTCAAAGTGGGGAAGGGAGTGTGCTTGTGAAGAAAGATATCTGTATATGTGTGAAAAGAGGCGACCAGTGTGGGGGGTGTCAGTGTGTATGTGTGAAAATGGGGGTGTCAGTGTAAGTGGGGAGGTGTCAGTGTGTGTGTGAAGGAGGTGTGTCAGTGTGTGTACATGTGCATGCGTGTGTGTGTGTCCAAGTGTATACACGTGTACGAACACGTTCGAGTACGTTGTTGTTAGGTGCTACTGGATCATTTCCACTCGTGGCAACCCCATGGGGGCAGAACAGATCACAGCCCAGAGGTGCGCCATGCTCAGGGCCTTGCTGTTGGAGCCCACGGCTGCAGCCGCCGTGGCAGTCCGTCCACTGAGGGCCCTCCTCTTTCTCACTGACCTGCTGCTGTACCAGGCCTGACGACCTTCTCCAGGGACTGCCCCTCCGACAACATGCCCGAAGCCTGTGAGACCACGCCTCACCATGATTTCTGAGGGCACGCCGGCTGTACTTCTTCACTACCGGTCTGCTCATTCTTCTGCCGTCCAGGGCACGTTCGGTGTCCTTCACCAAAATGGATGCCAACTCTACGCATCCGTTCTTCTTCAGTCTTCCTTAGTCACTTCCAGCTTTCACACGCATGTGAGATGATTTTCAATCAACTGAAACACCAATGAGTCAATCAACTGAGAACACCATGGCTTGGGTCAGGCGCACCTCAGTCCTCAAGGGACATCTTGGCTCTTTAATGCTTTAAACAAGTCTTTTGTGGCAGATCTGCCCAATACAACACGTCGTTTGATTTCTTGCTGTTTCCACGGGTGTTGACTGTGGCACCAAGTGAAACGAGATCCCTGACAATGTCAATCTTTTCTCCATTTACCATGATGTGGCTTATTGGTCGGTCCAGTCGTGAGGATTCTTTGTTTCCTTTACGTTGAGGTGCAATCCACACTGAAGGCTGCAGTCTTTGATCTTCATCAGGAAGTGCTTCAGGTCCTTACCCTCAGCAAGCAGGCTGTGTCAGCTGCGCTCTGCAGGCTGTTAATCAGTCTTTTCCAATCCTGGAGCCATGTTCTTCTTTATATATGATCACCTGCTCAGTACGCAGACTGAGTGAATATGGTGAAAGGATACAACCCTGACACATACTCTTCCTGATTTTAAACCATGCAGTGTCCCCTGGTTCTGTTCAAATGACAGCCTCCTGGTCTACGTACAGGTTCCTCATGAGTACAAGTAAGTGTATTCTGGAATTCCCAATCTTCTCAATGTTATCCATGGTTTGTGATGATCCAGAGTTTAATGCCTCTCCACAGTCTATAAAGCACACACATGTGCATATGTGTGAGTGTGTGAGTGTATGTGTGTATAAGTGTGGATGTGTGTGTGTGTTGTGTGTAGACTGTG